TAGGTAGGTGTGTGTGTGTGTATATATATATATATATATATATATATATATAGGCAGTCAGAACCTCAATAAATGAAACTGTAGGCAGTCCAGGCTTGATCATATTGTTGCTTGCAGTATTTCTTAATCTTCAAACAGATGCACCAAGTTTTCATAAAAATCACTAGATCGCTACAGTTGAGGTTATTTTTGTACACTATGCTTTATTATTTAAACATTAGTCAGTAAATTTCTAAACACTCTTTATCTCCCTTATACAGGAAAATAAGCCATATGTATGTTCTCATATTTTTCATGTAAAGAGAATACTTAATGCAGGCCATTCTCATAGGGATGGCTTTGCTGAACATTGTTTTTCCAAAACAAAAAAATAAAGTTTGTTTGTTGGAGTAATTGCTGCAGTATTTTTCTACCTTTACTGTAGAGTGTCTTACTTAGAGATAAAAGTAACCCTTGTAATCTTTAGATGACATCTTCCAAACTAAATTCTAATTTCCTAGTCCCAAATCATTAAGCTGATCCTTTCTGTGAAAGCGCACTAGAAACCATCTAGGTTATCTGCTTGCATGGGATTATTGGCTGCATTTTAAAAAAAAAAAGTTAGAGGTTACCTAAAATGTAATGCCTTGTCACCACTTCCTTTCTCTTGCTAATATGAGAACCTGGACAAAGCCCAAGTGCAGCACAAGCTATGAGTTTCATAAATATGGTAGCTCTATTATAGGTTTTTGTGGCAGTTCAGCCCAAAGAGGCTAAGTCACCCTCAGAAGCTACAGATTTGTTACAACAGGTGAGAGCAAGGAAAAAAGCCTTTTGGAAACAATAGCTTTCGCCAGAGAAAAATGCCAGAGACTAAAGAGAGGGGAAGAAGAAGAAGAATCAGAAATGCTCGAAACACTGTAAAAACTATTCTTTTGCTATAAAGCTTTGTCAGAAGCCTGGATTGAAATACTTGCCTGGGTCTGAACAGAAACTGATACTATATGAACTCTTAGGATTTGCAGGGCAATGAATAAGAGACATTACAAAATCATAGAATATTACAGATACAAAATTAAACAGAAGATGGGGCAAATTCAACATTAGTTCCTGGTTCTTTTTAGCTTCTGTTTTGAGAAGCCAAAAGGGTAATGGTACATTACAGTATGCATAAACTTTAGGTATTTATACTGTTTTGGTACAACAGTTAAGACTTAAGTTAGTACCGCAACTTTTACCTTGACATATAGAATTTTGAACTTAAAGTTGTTTGTAGTTAAATTAAAAAAATCCCCTTAAGTTTAGGAATACAAACTATTTAGAAAACAATGCTGAAACTAGAGGTCCTGAGCTTCTGTTTTGAATCAAATGCTTATCACACATTCACTTTCAAATGGAAAAGTCTTCTGGTCATGCCCCAAGCACTGGAAGCTAGTCGTATCTATAGATTAAAGATAAAAAGTGAGGGGAAAAATCATTACAAATGGTGAAGCAGATCCAACCACCCTCCTGTGAATAAGAAAGTGCTGGTTTAGATAAAAAGTTAATTCCTGTGTATAAATCTAGTATCTTGCTTAAAAGGGGCTCAGTTAGCTCAAATCACATGCTCTAAAAACTGTTCTCCCTTAGTTAAGTTGCTATCATCTTAGAAACCTTAAAAATCTGATTTGAAAATCTATTTCTAAGTTATTGGTGTAAATGCTCAACAAGCAGTCAGCCTATTTGTTTTGATACACAAAGCTCTATTTATGTGCTTTTTAGGCACTCATTGGAATATAATGGCCTTGGTTCACTTACAATTTTTTGATGTGCTTTTTCCTATTTGTAGGTCTCCAAAGGCCATGCTTAATGACGGAAGAAAAACATAACAAAAAAAAAAATCTAGTCCCCCAAATACATGTGCACAATTTTGATAAGTTACAATAGTCTATGTAACCTAGAATTTGGTAATTAACACCTATAGGAAAAGAAACGCTTTGGTTTCATATCCTTAATCGTATCTCAGTAACCACTTTTGAATATGGAAACAAATGTTCCTGTATTTGTCAGACCCTTATTAGAGACTGTATCTGTTTAGAAACACACATAATAAGTTGCCCCCACACCTAAGCATACTGAAAAGGCAGGCACTCACTGTTGCAGAGATTTCAATTCAGAAGGCAAATCGCAACCTACATAAACTCCATTTGCTAGGCTGTATTCCAAAAGAGCACTGAAACAGGGATCCTACCCAAAAAAAAAAAAAAGTTAATGTTTAAACACAGTAGCACATTTTGAATTCATTTGTGTATTTAAGAGAGTATTAACAGGTGATGCAAGAGTACAGGAGACCTACATTTATTTGAATAAATTATGTGTCAAAAAAATAGAACCTGCAGACTGGTTAACAAAAGGTAATTAAATAACGTTGCTGCATTTAGCTGGAATTTACATTCTCTATGGATAGATTAGTATGTGCTCCTAAAAGTATGAGACATTTCTGAACCCTACATTCTGGAAAGGCACACTAACATTATCTTTTTGATCCATTATAAATGATAAAGCTAATACACACAGGCAGGTGGTGATTCTAAATACACAGAATGCTTATTAGCTGAAGTGTTTTGCTCCATCCTCTCATCTTAGTCAACATGGATTTACAAAGCAGTATTTTTAGTAACAATCATGATGTTTAGGTTGATTTAGATACATTGTTAATACCGTGTTAGATTCCCTTTAGGCTTAGTATTCCCAAAATAATCCAAGGACTCTTAGGGCTTCTTTTGGGAAGATTGATTTCTAAATTATAAATCCATATTGACCAAGATCAGAGGAGAGACTAAAACACTTTCATTTCCACGTAAGGCTGAGGACGGTAACTTAAAGAATGATGCTTCACACTAATTTTCTCCATCTAAAGTAGGGTGACCAGATGTCCCGATTTTATAGGGACAGTCACAATTTTTGGGTCTTTTTCTTATGGCTCCTATTACCCCCCCCCCCGTCCCGATTTTTCACATTTGCTGTCTGGTCACCCTAATCTAAACATATCTAGAGTGTCCCTATAGGGAAGGGAAGACTGTCAGTAGGATGGCTTAGACTAAGGAAAATTCTGGCTGTCCTACTTCTATGTATTTGCTTACTCTTAGGTCCTTTAGAGATGCAGAAGACATGGACAAAAAGCTAAATATTCTAAAGACTTGTAAGTGATATCTGAAAGTATTTTGACATTGTGGATGCCAATGCCCATTATATTTCTTAGGACATGGAAGTCAATAGCTGTAGTCTAATATATACGAAGTCCCAGCGCAACTGAAGCCACAAGTTGAGAAGTTAAAAATATTCTAGGAAACTAGAAACAGTATGCTAAGGTTCCACCTTGGTGGCATCTCTGGTTTCTAGGTGAAATTTACAAGTAAAAACTCTCCCCTCCCCCAACTCCCCATCCTCCAAACTCTCTCTGGGATCTGAAAGTCAGGCCAGATGCTTTCACATTTGTACATCACCACCATCAATAGGAGATCATACAGGCCAAATTCTGACTTTATTTTACATCTGTGCAACCCCATTGAAAGCAACATCCAATGGAGCTTCTGTACATGAGAGCAGAATGTGGCTCCACAATGAAAACAATTATGAAATCTACTAATACATTTGCTAAAAGAGAATCCAGCTAACAAACCTAGCACTGCAGAGATAATGCAGCTAACATGAGTAAACAAAATGTATGACTTGACTTTTAGTGACATGTCACTAAAGTCAAGAGATAAGGTGCCAGCTATGCATAGGGACAGGTATACGTTAGGTTAGAAGATGCCATTTTAATCACTTTTCAAAGTGATTAACTACACTAAAAAAAGATAGTTCCCTTTTCGTAAGTGGTGTTCTTCAAGATGTGTTGCTCATGTCTATTCCACAATAGGTGTGTGTACGCGCCATGTGCACTGGTGCCGGAAGTTTTTCCCCTAGCAGTACCCGTAGTGGGGAAGAGCCCCCCGCGACCTCTGGAATGGTGCCTGCCTGGCGCGGTATAAGGGGAGCTGCGTGCTCCCCCCACCCTCAGTTCGTTCTTGCCAGACAACACCGGCAGAGGGGAAGGAGGGCGGGATGTGGAATAGACACGAGCAACACATCTCGAAGAACACCAGTTACGAAAAGGTAACTGTCTTTTCTTCTTCAAGTGATTGCTCATGTGTATTCCACAATAGGTGATTGCAAGCTATACCTTCTGGAGGTGGGTAGGAGTTCACAAGTTCTCAGGACGGACTACTGCCCTGCTGAACCTGGCATTATCCCTGCTTTAGGAGACTATCGCATAGTGCGAGGTGAACGTGTGAACCGAAGACCACATGGCGGCCCTACAAATGTCCTGTATAGGGACGTGGGCCATGAAGGCAGCCGACAAGTCCTGCGCCCTGGTCAAGTGTGCCCTCACAATGGGCAGTGGGGGGCACCCGCCAGCTCATAACAGGAGCGGATGCACAAAGTCATCTAGTTGGAAAGCCGCTGAGTGCGAAATCAGCTGGCCTCTTGTGTGCTCAGTTGAGGGGATGAACAGTTGCGAGGACTTTCTGAACGGCTTGGTCCGCTTGAGGTAGAAAGCCAGAGCCCGCCTCACATTGAGTGTGTAGAAACGGCGCTCCTCACTAGTCGCATGAGGCTTGGGGCAGAGGACTGGTAGAAAAATGTCCTCTGACCCATGTGGTAGGCAGAGACCATCTTCGGGAGGAATGCGGGATGTGGGCGGAGCCAGACCTTGTCCTTATGAAAGACCGTATATGGCGGCTCAGAGGTCGACCCTGAGCTCCGAGACTCACCTGGCCGACGTGATAGCAACCAGGAAGGCCACCTTCCATGAGAGGTGAGACCAGGAACATGTGGCCAACGGTTCAAATGGGGGCCCCGTAAGATGAGCCAGCACCAGATTCAAGTCTCATTGTGGGACCAGGGGCTTAGAATATGGGTAAAGCCGGTCCAAACCCTTAAGGAACCAGCCAGTCATAGCATGGGAGAACACGGGGGATGGAAGGCAGATATGGCTGCCAGGTGTACCCTGACTGACGAGGGTGCCAGGCCCTCAGGTAGAGGAGGCAATCAAGGATAAGCTGGATCGGGGTGGCCGTTGGGGACACACTTTGTTCCGTCACCCACCTAGAAAAACGAGACCCATTTGCCATGTAGGAGCGGCGAGTGGAGGGCCATCTACTTTCGAGGAGGACATGCTGAACCTGTTCTGAGCATGTCCTCTCCTCGCCACCTAGCCACTGAGCAGTCATGCTGTGAGGTGAAAAGCTGCCAGGCTGGGGTGGAGGAGGTGGCCCTGGTACTGAGAGAGCAGGTCCAAGCGCACACCTATTGTGGAATACACATGAGCAATCACTCAAAGAAGAAGAAAGCAGTGTTCAACACTGTTTTGAAAAAAGTTTCATATAAAGGAGAATGAAGAGGCATTGTTTTTCACACCAAGTACACAAAAACTCAAAACAGTTCATAGCTCCAAAATACCATACAATTACTGCACACATTTCTGTTTTTTTTTTTAAACAGGGAAAAACAACACCACCTTACTTTTACAAGAACATGAGGATTTCCCACCAGAATAAGCAAAGCCTTTGGTCTGGTAATTGCCACATTAAATCGTTTTGCATTAGAGAGGAATCCCAAGTAGTATCTATCATCATCAAATGAGCCCTCATTTGATCGTACCTAAAATGAATAGACAAACAAAGCAACAGTCAATAAGTGAGAAGGAAACTCACCAAAATGTACTGCAGTCATAATTTGTTTTCTTTTCTACTCTAGTAGGGACGGATCAGAGTAAGCATATAAGAAGCACAACTTCACCCTGCCAACTATGTTGCCACTCTAGATAGCCCGACACAAGGCAAGTTCTCCAGATGAGACTGCTTAAGGAGAATGGTGTGTAAAGTGGTCCCAGTGAAGCAGCAATCAGGGGTGTCAATCCTAATTCATGAGAAATTAGTAGTACACATCTTAATGAAGAGTACAATCTTAGTACATTATTTAATTTTATTGGTGAAGGTAGGTAATGCTCAGGAGAAGTTCTACTTGATTGACCCACAGACTAAGCTATAGTATTTGTATATGGAATAGTATTGCACGCTTTCTTACAATGCCGAGACATGCCTCAAACCTAAATGGAGGGACCATCTTCTACAGACAACTGGTACTCTGGGACCACAACTTATTACACTTCACATTGTTCCCTTGTACTCTCCCTGTATGTTATATCCACCTATTGTCTCCTATTTAGATTAGGAACTCTTTGGGGCAGGGACCATTTTCACTTGTGTGTGTGCACGCATGCACCCAAGCTCAATGGGACCTCATAGTTAGGGTGCTAGCATGGAACTCAAGAGCTAGCAATACCTGCTCTACCAGACTTTCTGTGCAACTCAGGGCAAGTCACTTATCTCTGTACCTCAGTATCCTCACAGGTGTGTTGTGAGGATAAATAAGTTAAAGACTGTGAGGCACTCATACTATGGTAATGGAGCTAAGATCGAGATAAGTACTATCACAATACAAGTAATATGGATTGGAAGCATTAGACTTTTATCTGTAAATGTTGATAAATGTCAATTTCACCATACAGAAACCAGTGAAAAAGTATTTCCATTGATAATAGAAATTCACAGATCGGTAAAGCAAGAAAAATGCTGCTTGAGAAATTAGAGTTTGATTTAAGGCTATTTAGTTTGTATATTTTGACATACGATACTGAAATTTGGTTTTAATGGTTACGAGGCTTTAACTTTCTGAATCTCAAAATCTACTGTCATTAATTGTTGTCTGACCCCCTCATAAATTTTCTGCAACTCTGAAATTTAAAGTTGATAAAATTTTTAAAAAATGCTTAAAAATAAACAGATTATCCATCAAAACTATATAAATAAAAATCAAATTCTGCCAAGCCTACAAATTTACGAGATGATAAGATAGTTCAGTCTCCATCCATGTTTGGTGTTGGTGCTTTTAGAGAGACTACCAGCAAAGGTATCAAATGAGGCAGTGATTCTCATTAAGAAGTGGGCTGAATGTTAACTTCCATATAAATCAAATCACTGTAGACAGGTTCATTATCATAGTGATTAAAATTTTCTCCTCTATAGTTACTAGCTTAAATCTACACAATATTCAATACCCCGATTTATGTTTAAATGCATTCTAAGTTTGAAGCAAAGTCATACCCTTGTATAAAATAAACCTTGTGACTAAAATGGAAGAGATAATTGTTACAATATAAACGTAAATATTTACCAACTACTACAAAATAATATCTGACATACTACAGTATTTGCCTGTACTTAGAAAAGGAAGTAGTATCTTAGGTGCTGTGATACATAAGTGGTAGATAAAAATACGTAGCCTTTTAAAATGGGGATTACTGTTGTATAAAAAAAAATTGCATTTTTACATACTGTCGATATGATGATCACCAAGTACTCCTGCCCTTGAAACTCCTCTACAGAACCAACTTTAATATCCATCAAATCAACATTTCGCAGAAGAAATCTAATTTTTTCTACCTATAAAACAAAAATATTTGAAGGAATTTGTTTTAGATGAAATAACTAATATCTTTCAGACAAAGTGTATCAAAAATAGAACCTAATGTACAAAATTGTATACCTCTCAAAGTGTTTGCATCTGGATTGAGAGCAAATGTTCTAACTGGGAATGATTAACAAGAGCTTCTAGATAAAGTACAAAGTTAACATGGGGGAGTGTCATACCTGTTGCCAACCTAATAGGTAAAGTACCCAATAACACAGTTTAGGTGTGATTAGTTGTCTATGGACAAAGTGAATCTCAACATTTTAACCTGCAACTGATACTTTTTCATTTTCAAATTAGTTCACACTTCTTGGCCTTTTCATCACATTAATATAGCTCTCAAGAATTTCAACATTACAAAATTTCTTGGTGTGAACTGAGTTACTATCCAGTCTCATCACAGTTTTCTCAACTGCTTCTGTAAGTAGGCAGAAGACCAACTGTGATGGATCTGGGGACTTTAATGAGAGGGAGAGGAGCAGAATGTATCTTTTTTCATTACTGCTAGCTTTTTTATCAGATAGTTTAATAGAAATATTAAATATGATTGACAGTACAATACATAATGCGGCTAGAAAAGTAGTCCAAAGTTAGCAATATTTTCTTGCAATAAACAGCACTAGTAGTGAATCAAAAATATGAGTTTAAATACAGAAACTTATCATTTATAAGCATCCGAATCAGACCTGTTTACGATACGGTGTAATCACCCCAATATCAGTCACCGACACTGCATTGTTAACGTGTTTTGCAAGAAGGCAACAATAACGCATTACTTGAACTGCTTCTGTAGGATTAAACCAAGAGGGGTTGTGTCCTTCACGTGTTTCACTGCCCTGCATTAGGAGAGAAGAAAATAAAGACCATATATTTAGAGTTGTTGCAAATTTAGTGATGAATACCTGCTGATTATCTTCTTAATACTTAGGAGTTGGTTTGGAAAGGAGTGTTATACAGCAGTGTTGGCTAATTTGATTAAATGTATCTACATGGTCTAGAATTAGATTGAGGAAAAACAAACAAGTCCTTCTCCAATTACTGCACTTCCAAGCACATGAAATTTATGTTACTAGAGAAGTATGCCTGCATCTGTAACTTTCACTCTATGCATCCGAAGAAGTGAGGTTTTTACTCACGAAAGCTTATGCCCAAATAAATCTGTTAGTCTTTAAGGTGCCACCAGACTCCTTGTTGTTTTTGTTACTAGAGAAGAGTTTCCCACCTATCAAATCTTCCTTAATTCCCCAACCCCATTTTAGTAAGAATATTTTACATACCCTCATGCCATGAAAAATTAGTGGAAACCCCTTCCTCGGTAATTTTTCCCAACCCAACAAAGAAGTTACTACTGAAGGGTCTGCACAAACTTCCAGCTCTTTATGATAAAACAGTTTAGATGGCAACGCAAGCAATGTAGAATGTGATCTGTAATTCTTCAAAAGCTTTGTAACCTGCAAGGAAGAAAACTCAAAGTTCATGAAATGAAACTGCACACATACCATTACATCCTGCAATTCTTGCCTTTCTCCCAGCACAGACAGAGAAGTTTATTGTCTGCGCTTTTCCTCTAATCCCTTCACTTGCCCCAGTGACCCCATCCCATCACTGATCTCCTCCACACCTACTCTCATCCCCTCACTCTTTTCCTTAATCCCTCTCCCTCACATCTAACTCTTTTTCCTGACAATACAAGCATACTTAAGTCTCTCCCTTCTTTAAAAAAACCCTCTTAACCCCATTTGTCTCTCCAACTACCCATCTCCCTTTTGTCTCTAAGTTCGTTGAATGTGCTATCTACAGTCACTGTCTGGAGTTCCTCTACTTCAGCTGCATCCTAGACCCTGTTCCAATCCACTTATGCCTCTTTCACACCACTGAAACCACTCCTGCTAAAACCTCTAATGACCTCTTCCTAGCTAAAGCTCAGAACCAATACTACATTTTCATGCCCTTTGGCCCATCAGCCCCATTTGATATTATCTACCACACTCTTCTTCCTGAAATATTGTCTTCCATGACTGTCTTCTCTTAGTCCTCCTCCTACCTCTAATTGTTCTTTCAGCGTGTTCTTCAGGAATCCTTTCATCTTCCCTCCAACTTTCTGTGTAGGTTCCACAAAGCTCTGTCCTTGGTCCCCTTTTCTTCTTCTACAATTTATCTCTGAGTAATCTCATCCACAGACACAAATTCAGCTACCATCTCCAGGAAGACAACTCACCGATTTATGTGTCTACTCCAGACCCGTCTTCTTCTAGTCATATTAAAATATCAACCTCTCTCTGTGACATCTCCTTGTGGATGTGTAGCTGCCAGCTGAAGTTGAATATGGCTAAAAACAGCTTCTAATAATCCATCCTAAGCCCTCGCCACTACCTCCTCTCTCAATCATTGTAGACAACTCCACCATCTTCTCACTCACACCAATAACTGTCTATCATTTTTTACTCTGCCCTTTCTCTAGGTCCTCACAGATTGTGTCTATATCTTATCTAAGAGAAGGACTTGCCTATCTATCTACACAGCCAGAACTCTTATCCAATCTCTCATCATCTTAAATCTTGATTACTGCATTAAGATTCTTATCCATTAAGAATGCTGCTGCTAAGATCATTTTCCTAGACCATCACTTTCTTTTGCACCCCATCCACTGGCTTCTTCTTCTCTACTGAATCAAAAATAATTTTCTTGTCTTCATTTTCAAGGACCTTCACAGTCAAACCCCATCCTATCTATCATCTCTCATTCCCGATCAAGCTGACACATTCCCAATTGGCCCATAATTGGAGCCAGCCTCCATCACTCACTTGTTACATTTTCAAACAACCACCTTCATGCTTTCTCACGTGCTGTCCCTCAGGCTTGGAAGGCTCCTCCCCTGTAAATATCTGCAAAAACTACCTCATCATCAACCCTTTAAATCCCTCCTCAAAATGCTCCTTTGCTGCCCTGCCTATAGAAAACTTGACAATGGTTAGGCTGCTCATGTGCAGAGATCACTGCCTATCACACTAATTCCTTGTACTCCCCCATCTAGCTACATCTATCTGTCTCATCTTATTCTCAGATTATAAGCTTATGAGGGCAGGGATCTGTTTGTTTGCACTGCACCTTGATAAATGGGGTCTATGACTAAGGCTCCTAGGTACTACAGTAACATAAACAACACGAATTCATCTCCATAGCACAGCAGCAATTCTTGGCTGCTCTAGTGCAGGCTATACAAACTCATGGATCTCTTGTGCTTAAAGAAGAATAGAACTGATTTTTTTGTAGTAAAAGTTCTATGACAAGATCTACTGTAGTTTAAAAAAAAAACTGGTTGTATTAAATACTTCCTTCTTCCCAAATGCTATAATGTAATTCCCAGTAGACTCCATAATATTTAGACTCAGCACTCAGCTAAAATAAATCTTAATGAAAGGGAACCAATTATGGGATTTTTAACCTTGCTACTGAAGAAAGAAAAGGGGACAAGCTCATTTTACGTGCATACAATTATACAGCCAAAAGCCTAAAAAAGAATGCTAAACACCATCTTCTTGCCCTTCCCTCTCTTCTCTGTGGCCATTATTATCCGCTGTGACCCTGTGTGATCTCAGGATAAGTGATAAGGCTGGGCTAGTTCAGCCTCTTGGATGGGGATAACTGCTGCAGGAAGCGGTACTGGTGATTTATTAAATATTTTTCTTTCAAGTGAATCAGTACAATCAATGCTTCAGAATGACATCAGTGGACACCGTGCTACTTTGGGCAAAACGTACCACAGGCTCAGATCACTTGTGTTACTTAACTATTTTTTGCCTTTTTGGAAAAAGAAAGGTGCTAGCTTGAACATCTGAGCGAATTCCAATTCCAGTAATCATAATCAGTTTAAGTTCTCCTGCTGTTCCATTGAACACGCTATTAGAGTTTTTTTGTTTTAGCTTTGTGGTGAATGAAGTAGTTTTACAGTTTTGTTATACAGTAGACAATATTTACATTCACTTCTTTCCAGCAATTCTATAAAAGCTCATTTTCTGCTGCTGCAATATTATCTTTCCACCTTTTATGTGGAACGATTCACAGATTTATACTTTCTATGTTAAAAGGTGGCCTAAAATTGGGAGGTGAGGCAATTGTGCCTGTGGGGCATCTTTATGGATAGATGAATGTCTGAACATTTTTCTTACATTTGTTTTTATTAATATTAAATACTGGGGTAGGGTTTCTGAGTTGCTTTTTCTACTAAAAAAGCAAGTCCTGTTTATCTTCGGAGTTTTATGGAGGACTGAGAAACTACTGGAGTTATGAAATCACAGAAGACTGAAGGCTTGTCTACATGAATACTTAGTTTGCAGCAAGATCGGATGTAGATCTGCCCTGCACTAGCCTAATGCGCATTAAGTGTCCATGTGGACCCTGATGCCATACACTAACAGTTCACTAGTGCAGGGGTTCTCAACCCTTTTTCTTTCTGAGCCCCTGCAACATGCTATAAAAACTCCAGGGCCCGGGGAGGCTCGGGGCTTCAGCTGCAGGGTGGTGGTGGTGGTGTAGTGCATGTGTGTTTCTGGCCTGCGGGGCACAGGGCTCCAGCTGCTGGATGGTGTACTCGGGCATAGGTATAGTTTGACTTTCTATTTTAGGGATCAGGGCCAGGCGGAGCTCGGGCCAGCTCTGGGAAGGGAGCACCACCCTTCACCCCAACTCACCTCAGCAGGCCACTCAGCCTGTCTGTGTTGGGGGTGGGGGGCGCAACCAAAAATTATAACTCAAAGAGCATGCTCAGCTCAAAAAGTATGAAAAGCGCTCATGGTGCAGGGAGAGAGGTAGCTAAGGGCTATGCGTGGGCAAGGGGTAGCTCAGGGTGCAGGGAGAAAGGTAGCTAGGAGCTGTGTGCAGGCAGGGGGATAGCAAGGGGCTGTGTGCTGGGAGGGCCCCCCCAGACCTGCCCTGTTGTCTCTGCTCCCGAAGGGCTCTGCTGTCCCTGAAGCCAGATTCCCCCATCCAGGCTGCTCTTACTGGCTGTGTGAGCAGGCAAAGGGGGCTGGGAGCTGAGGAGCAGCTGTAGACCCAGGCACCAGGCGACGGGGGAGCACCATGGCTGCCTGCTCCATGACACCAGTGAGAGCGGCAGCTGTCCTGTACTGCCCAGGTGTGGGTTCCCATTGTTGACCTGGGCAGGTGGTGGGACGTGTGTGTGTGTGTGTGTGTGCGTGTGTGTGTGTGTGCGTGCGTGTGCGTGCGTGTGCGTGTGTGTGTGCGCAACACTGCTTTTCCAACGTTTGTATCAGATCTTGCAATTGTAGTGATGGTGTAATGATGAGTGAAGGTATGCACAGAGGACCAAGTAGCTGCTCTCCAAACATCCAGTATGGGTACACCCGTTAGAAAAGCTAGAGATAGATTGAGATCTCATTAATGGGCTGACAGTCTCTGTGAAGGAGGGGTATTCACTATCTCAATAAGCTGTAATGATACAGGAAGTAATCTGTCAGGAAAATGTTTCTGCTGAAACTGTTTGCCATCTTACTCTGTCAGCACACAAAACAAAGAGCTGAGAAGATCACCTGAAAGGCTCAGTCCTCTCCAGGGAGAAGGCTAATACTTACGTATAAAGTATGTAGATGATCCTCATCCCTATTTGAGTGTGGCTTCAAGAAAAAACATAGGTAAATACATTAAAATTTTTGGATGTGCTCTCAAAGCTGCCTGGATCTTTGATAAACAGCATATATAGAGGTCCTGCTATGAGACCCTGACGCTCACCCACTCTTCTGGCTGATGTAATAGGAATGAGGCAGGATGTCTTCTGATACAGGTGAGACAAAGAACAGGTGGCCATAGGCTCAAATGGAGGCCCAATAAAGAAGCTATAGTCTGGGGGCCCAAATGGAAAATCCTGCCTAAAACTGAAATATGTAGCATCCGTCTGCAGAAATGGTTAACACATTTTTATGAAGGGATTAATCCCCAAGAGTGATTTGTTGGTGTGTTGTATTATGCAGTGGTAATTGAGAATGATGGGTGCTTTTGTAAATCATGTCAAATTGCCTTCATGGATTTCTTGAAAAAGTCCAAGTAATGACTCTTCTTTAATACATGTATAATTATACATAGATTTCATCCCACAGTGATTTCATGATGGCAAATTTACTTTAAATATGTTCTCTGCTTGTTGTTTTGTCTATATGTGTAATTTATGATTCGCTTACATAATGTAATGTGATTATTTTACCTGCTATTCCAACAGTAACATCTATTGGGTACTGTCCAGTGCTGCCAACATCAGCTATTGAAAAGAATACAGTTTTCACTGTAATGAAGAACGTCAACAAGATGTCTAGGACACTTGGCCAAGATTACAGTGTTTTGACATTTGATGAGGCTATATATTGTAAGGCTAAAGAGATTCAGGGGAGGTGCCCAGAGGAATTTCAGAAAACAGTCAACTGAGTTCAGCCACACTCGAAGGATGCACAGGCAAAGCAAGGCATGTTGGGTCACACAAGTACTTGTGGCCAGATGGCCTAATAGCCTTAGTTATGGTTAGATTGTGATAGTGGGGTCTGACTTAAGAGATAAAGTACAACTAGCGAATGGTCTGAGATTTCTCTAGAAAAGAAAAGCCATTGAATTTGCAGAATGGAGTAGGGCCCCTGTGACACTGGCAGATCAGGTGTCCTCTCATGCCAAGGTCCCCACGTCTCAATTGAACACTGATAATTACATAAATGAGCCAGACTGATTCCAGCTGTGTGTTAATATTGTTAAAACAGGTATTAAAATTATAAGTATGTGTTTGGTATTCAGAGTTTATTGAATGCTTGTGAGTAGCTATGTGCATTAATCTCACTTATAACATCTATATCCTACATTGTAAAGGTAATATTTGAGCATTTGTACTGTGAGTGGGGAAATCACCAGACAGGAGAGATACATTAATTAGTGTGAAGGGCTGATCTTCAACAGAAGGTATTACCCCCCCCTCCCCCCCGCCAACAGGAAGGGTCCATCGATACCAGATAGATTATCGTGGGACGTTGCAACTGGAATTTCCCTACATACGGTCAATAAGAGGACAAAAGATTTTTACTGTTCTGCTCTCTTCCCTGTGAAGATGAGTAATGCAAGCGGATTCCTCCCATCGGCTGAGTTTGCAGCTCAGACCACGTGGCAGATGGGGCGAAAAATCCCAAGAGAAGGAAAGGACAGTTACCTGTTCCGTAACTGGCGTTCTTCAAGATGTGTTGCTCCTGTCTATTCCACAGTAGGTGTGCGTGCGCACCATGTATACTGGTGCCGGAAGTTTTTCCCTTAGCAGAACCCGTAGTGGGAGAGCACCACTGTGACCCCTGGAGATATAGCCTCTATATCGCGCTATCAGGGGAGGTGAGCACTCCCCCCCACCCTCAGTTCCTTCTTGCCAGACAACTCCGACAGAGGGGAAGGAGGGTGGGGTGTGGAATAGACAGGAGCAACACATCTCGAAGAACGCCAGTTACGGAACAGGTAACTGTCCTTTCTTCTTCGAGTAATTGCTCCTGTGTATTCCACAGTAGGTGACTCCAAGCTATATCTGACAGAGGTGGGTAGGAGTTTAAAGGTTATCGGGATGGAGTACCGCCCTAACAAACCCGGCGTCATCCCGTGCTTGGGAGACAATTGCACAGTGTGAGGAAAAGTGTGGACAGAGGACCACATGGCAGCCCTACATATGTCGTGGATAGGGACGTGGGCTACATAGGCGGCCGACGAGGCTTGCGCTCTCGTGGAATGGCCTTTACGATAGGTGGCAGGGGAACCCCTGCCAAGTCATAACACGTGCTTATGCACGAGGTGATCCAGCAGGAAAGGCGCTGGGTGAAGACCGGTTGCCCTCTCATACGCTCGGCCAACGCAATGAACAATTGTGAGGATTTCCTGAACGGCCTGGTCCGGTCCAGATAAAAGGACAGCGCCCTACGTACGTCTAGCGTGTGTGATATTGTGGTGGCATCATGAATCCGTGCAGAGAAAGACCTTGTAGTTGGTACCACAATATCAACTGTAAATCAGTACTCAACTCTGACGATCATTCTGGTACCAGGGCTGAAGAATGTACTGGTGCCAACATGCTGTTTACCGATGCCCAAAAGGGTACAAACATGCTGAGTCCCTGCCATATTTATTAGCTTGAACAGATACTGATACTGTTAACAGTCTCTGCACAGGAGCTGAGAAGACAGATGGGCCTGATACAAGAAAAGCAATGCCAGTGCAATAGATTCCTGCTTCACAGGAGAGCCTGGGATGGAGATGCACAACAAATCCTTTGCTGACTCATAAGCTTGCAAGGTTGTCAGTACTGAACAGCATCCACTGCCCGTCCTGATGACGGTACCGGAGTTGACGGCATAGTACAGATATCCATGGTATCAGGGAGACATGGGTCAACGGCCCAGCTCTACCATGAGTACCTAAAGAGTCCCAATGATGTTCTGAGTCCTTTTTTGAATAGGATATTTCTTCAACTTCAAGGGGTTGTGATCTGACATGTCCCCTCTTTTGGGTAAGGCCCTGAGAGGAAAGCTAACCTTTCTTTCTCCGTGGAGAAGATTCTCCAAATCCAGAGATTTGTCAAAGACAACCACAGCAGCAGTCTGCACAAGGGTGGCAGGGTGTTTGCTTAAGGGCCTTGGGACTGAAGCAGTCCTTATCACATGCTCAATAAGGCACTGAACAGGCACATGTCTCTGGAAATCTGCGTTCTTTTCTTGAGCAAACGGCAGATATTGCACCCCTCCTAATGTGTCCCTTGCCAAGGCACAAAAGGGAGCGTGTATGGTGATCACTATTTGGGATCACTGGGTGGGCACATGAGTGGAATGTGCAATCATTCAAAGAAGAACTTTTAGTGAGCAGCAGCAGTTTCACATGCACACAGTGCACAGCAGGCTACTGCGGGGTGGATTTACATCCCAGCTTGCCACAACTAAGTATTCATTGAGACAAGCCCTGAAAGGTGGATAATGGGAAAGGGAAGGGATTTTAACTCAATGTTAAGCATTTTGGTTTTTTTCCCCCTAACATTTATATTTCTCACTGTCTAAACCCATAGTTGAGGGGAAAATCCATCTTTGAAGGGGTAGACATGTTAAATCTTTAATAAATAGGGAGGAACTCGTTGAGAATTTGAAAGTAGAAGGCAGCTTGGGTGAAAGTGATCATGAA